TCTTCTTGTTGCCTAGCAACGAGCGGCAGTAACGGGTGTAAGTTAACTTTTTATATTCATAAAACTAAACCGGGTTGAAACCAGTGGCGGCTGGCCAATAGAGGGCGCTAGGGCGCCGCCCTCCCTGAACCACATACACAAAATAATAATTATATAAATTATTTAAATGAAGAGGTTTTTGTTTTTTTGAGCAAGGTGCCACTGTCAGGAGAGTCAACAGCAGTGGCGGCTGGCCAATAGAGGGCGCTAGGGCGCCGCCCTCCCTGAACCACATACACAAAATAATAATTATATAAATTATTTAAATGTATATTTGTATGATGTGATATATTAGAAAATCATCTGTAAAAAAATATGTGTTTTTACCATCATAATATGACTTCTCTCAGCTGAGGGGCAATCGAGAAATCGACCCCACGGTTCTTTGTAGAATTTAGTCAAATGCTGATTCAAGATATAAATATATTCAAGATGTGACATAAAATTTTGCCAATCAGCGTCCTCAAATCTTATCTGAAATGGGCGATTTTTCTGTCGCCCCAAACTGCTAAAATCAGGGCTGGTCTGTAGTGACGCAATTTTCAATTATGTGACAATGGCGGGCTCAGGTGTCATTAATTCCGAACACGAACCTAACTCTGTAAAGTCTCTACTCCAAAGTCCGTTTGAGAAGAGATAAAAGAGCTGGGTCCAGATCAGCCTGACCTCTTAAGCCTGGCTCACACTACAGGAGTTTTAAAATCCTAACCGATTATGAAATCTGGTTGCAGCCTGAGGCGATTTCACTCCAGCGCTTCTCTTTCTCCTTACGGTTGTGATACGTTTTCGACACATTATACAGACAGTCATGTTACTACTACATCAAGAAGCAGTTTCCTCCGTCTCCACTATCCAACCGAGCCGTACAGCAGCTGTTTTGCGGTCGTGCATCGGCTATTGTGAAAGTACTGACGTAATCATATAGCCGTCATCATCCCGATTTCAATCCTAAATATCAAACATGTTTGATATGATCGGGGCGGCCCCGATTTGTGTGCGAGCAGATCGGGAGGTGCAAGATTCGATCGGTGAACGCCTCACATTACCAGATAATCCGCGCCGAACATCGGGAGCGATCGAGGGGCTCGACAAGATTTTTGCTCCGATTCTCGGGAGGGGGAAATCGGGGCTAAATCGGGCTAAAAATCCTGTAGTGTGAGCCAGGCTTTAATCAGACAGCAGACAAGCGAGAAAGGGAAGAAGTACACGCGAAGCTACTCTTCCAGTTGGTACACCAAAAAGGCCTGGCTATGTGGGTGCGTTTCTGCTAATGCCTTATTTTGCTTTCCGTGCTTGCTGTTTAAAGCAACTGGGGCAGATCCAGCATGTCCAGCATGGACAGTTACGGGAGTGAGAGATATGAAGCACCTGTCCGAGAAAGCAAGAAAACATGAGAACACCAGGACCGATAATAAAGTTGGTTCGACGTTTGAGGTTTGACATTTGTCGGAGATTCAGCCTCGGAAATCTTGACAAGTGACAAGAAACACACCGTGTTATAATTGTTTTCAAATGTAGGAGAGAACACACAATGCGTTTCATTTGTTTTAATCTGCCTTGAGGTATTGTGGTAGACCGTATAATATAAAAGTGCAGGATAGGGACCGTCTGCAAAGTGCAAAACCAAGAGCAAAAAGGACAATTTTTCCATCTAAATGCTTCACTTGTGAAATGTATAAAAAAATACATCTCAGATCTAAGGGCTGTGTCTTATTACTGCCTCATAGACGAACATGTAGATGTTGGTTTTATTCACAGAACTGTGAGACAACACATGATATTAAAATGTGAACAAATTCAGCAATTAATCTTCCATCTCAGTTTCTAAGGGTGCGTCTTGATACTTGTCCCTAAAAGAACATTTCGATGTTGATATTACTCACATTAACTATAAGAAGAAAAAACGTATGTCTGCATTGCAATAATTGGTAACACTTTACAATAAGGTTCATTAACTAACATGAGCAATACATCTGTTACTGCATTTACAGATGTTCATTGTTAGTTCTCAGTGCATTAACTAATGTTAACAAGATTTTAATAATGTGTTAGTTAATGCTGAAATTAACATTAACAAAGAGTAATAAACGGGAAAAGATTTCCATTTCGAGCATGTAATAAAAATGCTTTAAAAACTGAGCAAATATTTTACAGTTAATATGTTTACAGTAAAAATACAACTTTCTTTGTATTACATTCTTCTACAAATGTGAAAAACACCATTATATGTATACAATGTTTAATTATACATTCCTATATAAAAAAAATTTTATTGAAGGAACAATAGCAACATTACAATAAAACATGAACATTACATTTTCCTTCTTTGCATTTTGCAGTAACAACCCCTTCCCCCTCAAGTCCCAAACATCCCAGGGCAGCTAGACCTAATTCCCCAACTGAGGATGATCGCAGATAGAGCAAAAGCAGATCGTGTCGTCATATTCAGTACTTTATCCAGCTAATTAAAGAGCAAGAAAAAACCACAGAGCTTAGTATATGATTATAATCACACAGGTCTAGTGCAGCCTTGGGTTTTGCACACAGGATATAGAACTGCCAAAGTCTTCTGCTTCTTACCCAAAGAGGCGAAAGGAAAGTTCTTACACATTATTCTTCATCCCAATGAGAACGATAGAACTCGTTGGCTTCCTCTGGCATGTCAAAGTAGTATGTTTTCCCTTTGTAAGTAACGTGGAGCCTTGCGGGGTACAACAGACCGAATCTGACTCCCTTCCCATAGAGCCAGGGCTTCACTTCTTTAAACGCCGCTCGCTTTTTTCCCAGGTCACTGTCCACCACTCTCATATTAGTCTCAGCCTCGGACGTCACGTCCACGCAACGTTGGCTGAACGTCTGATGCATACGGCACACAAAAGTGGAAACACTTCAGGAGTTTCGAAGTCGTCATCGGATTGGTTGAATTATACAGGATTTCCGGGAGACGCGTGTGTCGCGTTCTTTAACGTTCCGCCTGGAAACAAAGATGCCGTGGCGCCAAACCCTTACGGAAGAAGAAAGCCGTCGTGTCTACAACTGTGACGACGAGCGCTAAACGATCAGGATCAACTAAACGCTGGATTTTCAAAAGTATGTGAAATATTAAAAGTTTGCGGCATAGAATCTTTAAAATACGTCCGAGAGTTTTACACACCGGTCTGTTATTGAGGCAACATTTCCACGCCCCGAAACGTGAGGCTGAAACTAAACGAAGTGTGATTGGTTGTTTGACATGTCGGTCAAATGGCCTCATGGGCGGGCCTTGGCCAATGAAAGCTGCCATGGATTCCAGGCTGAAGGTCTGGCTACGCGAGACTACTCTCATATTAGATCTTCGTGAGTGATTTTCAAGGTCATCCAGCTTTTCCTTCAGCGACACGTTCTCTCTTCGTAGCGCATCCATCGTAGCCTCGACATTCGCCAGCCTGTCACTTTAATAATTTGGGCCATCTTCAAACAGAGTGTAACGACCCTGGAATAACATCTACAGAGTTACAACACATTTTGAAGGTAAGCATAACTTTAAGCATAAGTACACTGAACAAAATTATAAACGCAACACTTTTGTTTTTGCCCCCATCACAACGTTGACATCAGCAAACCGCTCACCCACACGACGCCATACACGCTGTCTGCCATCTGCCCTGTACAGTGAAAACCGGGATTCATCCGTGAAGAGAACACCTCTCCAAAGTGCCAGACGCCATCGAATGTGAGCATTTGCCCACTCAAGTCGGTTACGACGACGAACTGCAGTCAGGTCGAGACCCGATGAGGACGACGAGCATGCAGATGAGCTTCCCTGAGACGGTTTCAGACAAGTTTGTGCAGAAATTCTTTGAAAAACCGATTGTTGCAGCAGCTGTCCGGGTGGCTGGTCTCAGACGATCTTGGAGGTGAAGATGCTGGATGTGGAGGTCCTGGGCTGGTGTGGTTACACGTGGTCTGCGGTTGTGAGGCTGGTTGGATGTACTGCCAAATTCTCTGAAACGCCTTTGGAGACGGCTTATGGTAGAGAAATGAACATTCAATTCACGGGCAACAGCTCTGGTGGACACTCCTGCAGTCAGCATGCCAATTGCACGCTCCCTCAAAACTACACATTTTAGAGTGGCCTTTTATTGTGGCCAGCCTAAGGCACACCTGTGCAATAATAATGCTGTCTAATCAGCATCTTGATATGCCACACCTGTGAGGTGGATGGATTATCTCGGCAAAGGAGAAGTGCTCACTAACACAGATTTAGATAGATTTGTGAACAATATTTGAGAGAAATAGGCCTTTTGTGTACATAGAAAAAGTCTTAGATCAGTTCAGTGTATATACATTGTACAAATAAATTGCAGTTTAGTTGTTTCAAATGAACTTTTTTTAATTCAGTTGAGTTTAATTGAGTTTAATTCAACTTAACATTTAAAGGCACATTTTAACACTTCCCTTTGTTTTTATTAAAGTACACATGGCAAGTGTAAAAGGATTGCCTCTGTGTTGTGTTGTGTAGAAACTGCAATGGACGCCAGTCTCGTGTTTGTGTAGACATTTATTCTGTCGACAACACATTCAACAGTGGTGATCAGTTTCGGCAATCACACGTGCATGCTCTATAATGAAGTTGAACATCAAACTTGATTTTACCACACATGTCACAGTGGCACGAACACAAATCATACAATATTCTTCTAATCACATGTAAATATTACGCCATTCACTCTCTCAGCTGGCGTGAATCTAAATGACCCTACTGTAACCAGTTCATTAAACATCAAGATCTGGGCCGAGAGTGCAGGTAGAGTGTGATTAAAGGGCCATACACAAAAATAAGTATAGCAAGTGGAAGCACATTTTTGACCGCGCTGAGCACGACGTCCATCTCTGGCTCAGCACCAGTCAAAGCACAAAAGCATATCTGAATTTAGCAGTTAATCACATTCAACAATAATCACACCAGTGTGATTGTACATGTTACAGAGCTACTTTACGTTCAAAACTCTGATCAGATGTAAACGGCTTCTCTTCAGTGTGAATCTTCATGTGTTTCCTAAGGTTTCCTTTTTCAGTGAAACTCTTTCCACATTGTTGACAGGTGAAAGGTTTCTCTTTGGTATGAATCCTCATGTGGCCTTTAAGTCTATATTTATGTGTAAAACTCCTTGGACATTGAGAACATATGAAAGGTTTCTCTCCACTGTGAATTTGCATGTGGTATTTAAGGCTTGCTTTTCGAATGAAGCTCTTTCCACACAGTTTGCAGGTGTAAGGCTTCTCTCCAGTGTGAACTCTCATGTGGTCAACGAGGTGTCGTTTATCTGTAAAACTCTTTTCACATTGAGAGCATGTGTAAGGTTTCTCTCCAGTATGAATTAGTGTGTGTTTTTTAAGATCTGCTTTTTGAGTGAAGCTCTTTCCGCACTGTTGGCAGGTGAAAGGTTTTTCTCCGGTGTGAATTCTCATGTGAAGATTAAGGTTCCCTTTTTCAGTAAAACTCTTTCCACACTGTTGGCAGACAAATGGTTTCTTTCCAGTGTGAACTCTCATGTGGTAATTAAGGTTTGATTTTCGAATGAAACTCTTCCCACACTGTTGGCAGGTGAAAGGTTTCTCTCCAGTATGAGTTCTCATGTGGACTTCAAGGAATCCTTTTCTGGTTAAACTTTTCCCGCACTGTTGGCAGGTGAAATAACTTCTATTTGCTGTCTTTTGAGCTCTTTTTTCTGATTTCTCATGCTGAACACTGAGTTCTTGACTCTCCTCTTTCAGTGTCATCAGGTCTAATGCAAAAAAAGACAAATCCAGATTAACACCATTTATAATGGCACAAAGAACAAACATCAAAACCAACAACATGTAGATCTTATACGCACCCTAAACTATTAAAGTAATATCAAAACCTCTTCCCATTATTTGAAGTGACGGTGATAATAAAAAAAAGCTATTGTATAGTTGCGTATGTTTTAATGCTCATTTTCGAGGTAATGGGTCATGTGATCTCAACATGACTGTTCAAATGAGGCGACCCACTCCATGTCAAATAAAACTATTGTAATTACAAAACTCATGACATTCTTCAAAAATATCATTCATTTCTATAGAGCTGAACATTTTATTAAGGATCAAATGAATGAGTTCAGCTCTTTAATAACCTCCATCTTTATAATAGTGTGTCACGTGGCTCTGTAAGAGATTAATCACAGATTCCTCAAGTTATCAATAACACAGATCTTCTGGCTTATAAAAGCAAGTGTGAAATGCTCTAAATTCACTACAGAGCATTTGTGATATTTATAGTTAAGAATGAAGTCAAGTATCTTTATATAAACTTTTTTTTTTTCATAAGAAAGAAAATATGGTTCACTGATTTAAAGCTGTACATGTTCGGTTTCATCAACCAGCAAAACATACTCAGGTGTTACTCCTCATCTAACATTGTTAGGAGTGAATGATGTTCAGTTTCTAAATATAAGATGCTTTAAGCAGTTTATAAGAAACACATAAACTGTAGAAGTATATCCTTCACAGGGTATTAAAAAGTATACATAAATTAGATTATATAAGTGAAGTTATAGTTTTGAGACAAACTACCTGTAATATCCAGTTACGGTTGTAGTAAACTCAGAAGTGAAGATCAGAGACGGAGTGACTCTTCATCAGGTTCTTGATTGAGATGCTACTGTGTGTCACGCTGCAGTCATCAAGACTGACTAAAGCAGAGAATCACTGTAGTTTATACTGATTTCAGGAGGCTGTCATCAGAAGATTAAATATGCAGAGGATGCAAGCAGTTACAGGAATTTGCCCAGATTTTCCCCAACTCTCATGCAATCAGCATAACTATAACTCTCATTATCACAGAGATCAGGGAAGGTCACACCTACAGACATCACATTCACACTTAACCCAGGTACTGATAGCATGAACAATGACCATCAATTAAAGTAACGGGACAGAAGCAGCAAGAGACAATAAAGACAAAAGGTGACAGACTCACCTACCATGATTTTACATCTGCATTCACACACACCTAAAACAAAAGAGATGCCATTTATCTTTCTGTTGACTTTCTAGTGCTGAGTTCACACTGCACGATTTTCAAAGTCGTCGGATCGCCGTTGTTTTCACACTGCACGACTCTCTGGGGTAGCATTCACACTGCACGATGGATCAGCAGCCGGACGTTACACACTGCATGACTTTACAATAGGAAGAATCGCAGACGGCTCTGTCTGGTCCGTAAACTATATTTCATATAACTCCTCCCTGAACTTCCCGCGGCCCTGTATCTTGCTCTCTCATTGGCTGTAGGTCATTGGCGATGTAGTTTTCAGTCAGAACTCATTTCACACAGCAGGACTTTGAATCACTGACAGGTCCAGATATTTAGCATGCCAAATATTTCACGGACATCGGCGATGCTTTCAGATCGCGTCTTTAATAATAATTCACTCTGTGTGATTGTCACTGGCGTGAACGAGCACCGATTTGCATTTGCCGGCGGTTTTGCAAAACCTGCAAACCTGGGCTAAAATCGTACAGCGTGAACTCTGCTTTAGGCTAAGATTGAATTTTGACCAAAATAATTGTCTTAATTGATGTGCATTTGTAAGAAAGTAAAACACTTATTATTAGTACGCATTTTGTATAATACAAATATAAATTAATGATTAAATAATCACTGCATGAAGAGGGTCATCTATCTGCCCATGGTAAACTCCCATGCAGTTTCAGGTTTGATGGATGTATGTGGAAAAATCCTGAGCCAGATTACACAGAAAAGTACATTTCCAGAAATACCCGGATACTTGGGGTACACGGACATATACAGGAATCTGACATTTCACGGACATAAACGGCTGAAACACTGCTGGTTGTCAATGTTGCCAAGTCCGCGGTTTTCCCGTGGAATTGGGCTACTTTAACGCTGTTGCCGCAGGTTGTTTATCAAGTCCACGGGTTGAAGCGCCCCCGAAAACGTAATATTGAGTCCCTGAAATGCGAATTAGAATGGGAACCCCGCAAAAAAATGTGTATTTACTAGGGGTGCTCCGATTACCGGCCGGTAATCACGTTGGGATGACTGATTGGTGGTCTCTAAAAAGGCCGATCTCAAGCTGATGGCGTACGTGCCTGCCGTGAGAGGTTTGGCACGACATGCAGCGGCGCCGTCTCAGTCTCTGTCTGGCACGGGTAAAATAATGATTATGCTGAAGGTGAGGTGCAACTCATATTTCTTCATTAAATAACTCTTAAAGAAATATGAAAATCTTCTGTGGAACATAATTTCACAAACAGCGCGAGTGGATCACCACACGTGTGCTCTCTTTCCGTCTCAAAATGCGTAAATGGCTTCAAATCACATCGCTTCTGCACTATAAGCGAGCTGCACAGTTGACACAGGAATTGTCACTTGCACAATCGCGGCAGTGTTGCATCGTCACTAAAGTTTATAAATTGCATTTCTTTTTAATTCTTGCCAGTGTTTAACCATTCAGCGCTCGCGTGCACACTCACAGCGCACACACATAACGCCAGGTTCACATTACTCCGTTTGCAGTGCGGTGCATATTTTTTTCTGCGCTCATGTTAACGGATTAAAGCGTTCACACTGCACACAGTTGCGGTGCGGCAGTGGGTTTCAGGAGCGGTGAGTCTGCAGTGCAGAGATCGTTTCCGCACTGAGTCTGTTTTTGCTGCGCTGCAAGTGCTGAATTAAAGTAACAGCGCATTGTTTGTGATAAATATTCAAATGAAAATTTAGTAATTACACCATAAATGCATATAATTAAAGTCTACTGTGTTTCACAGTAACACATATGGCTTGTTGGCTAGTTTTAAAGGAAAAAAGCACTTTTCGATAAACAAGGCAATAATAGATGGCACTTGTGGAGCTAATAAAGATTTAAAAGCAAAAGGAAAGGCAGTAGAGCTGACTGTCAGTGGTAAGTTTGAATTTAGAATGTTTGTGATAACGTAAGAAAAGTATTTGAAATGTTTTGCCACTTGCTTGAGCAACTTTTTGTGCTGCGTGTAAGCTATTGTGCAGCAATTGCACGAATGTAAAAACAAAAATGTGCTGCATGATCGAACATTTAGGTGAGATAAATATCATATAACTCCTCCCTGAACTTCCCGCGGCCCTGTATCTTGCTCTCTCATTGGCTGTAGGTCATTGGCGATGTAGTTTTCAGTCAGAACTCATTTCACACAGCAGGACTTTGAATCACTGACAGGTCCAGATATTTAGCATGCCAAATATTTCACGGACATCGGCGATGCTTTCAGATCGCGTCTTTAATAATAATTCACTCTGTGTGATTGTCACTGGCGTGAACGAGCACCGATTTGCATTTGCCGGCGGTTTTGCAAAACCTGCAAACCTGGGCTAAAATCGTACAGCGTGAACTCTGCTTTAGGCTAAGATTGAATTTTGACCAAAATAATTGTCTTAATTGATGTGCATTTGTAAGAAAGTAAAACACTTATTATTAGTACGCATTTTGTATAATACAAATATAAATTAATGATTAAATAATCACTGCATGAAGAGGGTCATCTATCTGCCCATGGTAAACTCCCATGCAGTTTCAGGTTTGATGGATGTATGTGGAAAAATCCTGAGCCAGATTACACAGAAAAGTACATTTCCAGAAATACCCGGATACTTGGGGTACACGGACATATACAGGAATCTGACATTTCACGGACATAAACGGCTGAAACACTGCTGGTTGTCAATGTTGCCAAGTCCGCGGTTTTCCCGTGGAATTGGGCTACTTTAACGCTGTTGCCGCAGGTTGTTTATCAAGTCCACGGGTTGAAGCGCCCCCGAAAACGTAATATTGAGTCCCTGAAATGCGAATTAGAATGGGAACCCCGCAAAAAAATGTGTATTTACTAGGGGTGCTCCGATTACCGGCCGGTAATCACGTTGGGATGACTGATTGGTGGTCTCTAAAAAGGCCGATCTCAAGCTGATGGCGTACGTGCCTGCCGTGAGAGGTTTGGCACGACATGCAGCGGCGCCGTCTCAGTCTCTGTCTGGCACGGGTAAAATAATGATTATGCTGAAGGTGAGGTGCAACTCATATTTCTTCATTAAATAACTCTTAAAGAAATATGAAAATCTTCTGTGGAACATAATTTCACAAACAGCGCGAGTGGATCACCACACGTGTGCTCTCTTTCCGTCTCAAAATGCGTAAATGGCTTCAAATCACATCGCTTCTGCACTATAAGCGAGCTGCACAGTTGACACAGGAATTGTCACTTGCACAATCGCGGCAGTGTTGCATCGTCACTAAAGTTTATAAATTGCATTTCTTTTTAATTCTTGCCAGTGTTTAACCATTCAGCGCTCGCGTGCACACTCACAGCGCACACACATAACGCCAGGTTCACATTACTCCGTTTGCAGTGCGGTGCATATTTTTTTCTGCGCTCATGTTAAAGGATTAAAGCGTTCACACTGCACACAGTTGCGGTGCGGCAGTGGGTTTCAGGAGCGGTGAGTCTGCAGTGCAGAGATCGTTTCCGCACCGAGTCTGTTTTTGCTGCGCTGCAAGTGCTGAATTAAAGTAACAGCGCATTGTTTGTGATAAATATTCAAATGAAAATTTAGTAATTACACCATAAATGCATATAATTAAAGTCTACTGTGTTTCACAGTAACACATATGGCTTGTTGGCTAGTTTTAAAGGAAAAAAGCACTTTTCGATAAACAAGGCAATAATAGATGGCACTTGTGGAGCTAATAAAGATTTAAAAGCAAAAGGAAAGGCAGTAGAGCTGACTGTCAGTGGTAAGTTTGAATTTAGAATGTTTGTGATAACGTAAGAAAAGTATTTGAAATGTTTTGCCACTTGCTTGAGCAACTTTTTGTGCTGCGTGTAAGCTATTGTGCAGCAATTG